GTTATTTTGCCTGAAGAGCCTGTGATGATGACAAATGGACTATGCTGTTCTTATAGAGGTCAGTTAAATGTTCTGGAAATGTATGTCCTTTCTTTACAGTTGTATTTCTTGCTTTAACATTGACTGGCTCTACCTTCTGGCACACACCCAACAATGCCCCTTCCTTGAGTGTCTGCTCACATTTAGAGAAATTGGCCACTGTTATAGGTACTACTTGATGACTTTTACGCAGATGTACATACGCTATGATTGTCTGTTGTCTCAGTAATTTTATTTGTTTGTTTTTTCTTCTTTGTAATAGCCCCCCCAGTGGCAAAACGGTATGTCTGCGAACTTACAACGCTAGATTCAGGGTTTCGATACCCGTGGTGGGCAGAGCACAGATAGTCCATTGTGTAGCTTTGTGCTTAATTATAAATAAACAATAAACAAACCTTTGTAATATGTGGTTTTATTAAGGGTAAGATATTGCCATAGGAAAAAAATCACTGTTCTCCCTTCATTCTACGTGTTCTTTTACTCCCTTATTTAACATATACATTTCCAAAAATGCTCATACACATAAGTTAATGTAGTTTAAAAAAAGAACACTGGTCAACGAAGTGACTTAGGTCGTTATAAAAACCGGCCTTTATAGAGCACATATCTCGCGAATTGTTTGTTTCCCTCATTTGCAAGAAATAATGGATTCTGTTTCCTGAAAAGTAAAACAAACAAGCAAAAAATCGACTCAAATGTCAAGTCTATGCTTCAGGCAGTTGGGTTTTCAGTTGTCGGAAATAAATCCCCCATAAATCGAGGGTATATCGATTTATACTCTTTTTTTTTACTTGCAGGATTACTTCTGACAACTTAACATAAGTCATATATTTGTTTTTCCTGATATTATATAAAGTGTATTGTTCACATAATTTATTTTTCGTTTATTTAGTTATTTATATATATTCGCTCAATCTATTCAAGAGTCACTTTATTTTTATTCCTTTTATATTTTCATATCTCACTTTAGTTGAACCAACTTCAGCCAGTGCTTCAACCATACCATAAGCGTCTGACGAACCAACTTTATCCATTGCTTCAACTATACCATAAGCGTCTGATGAACCAACTTCAGCCATTGCTTCAACTATACCAGAAGCGTCTGATGAGCCAACTTCAGCCATTGCTTCAATCATACCATAAGCGTCTGATAAACTAAGACTGCTATCAGTAATAACTTCAGAAATTGTTGCAAGTATTTCTGTTTCAGGGACAATATGTCATCCCCTATCAGCTCCTATAAAAACTAAAGAAGTTTCCTGTTATGTGAAGAATGTCTAGAACTGGGTTACATAAAAGGTAATTGATTCATTACAATACAGAGGTTGAGTACATTATATTAAAGTGATTTTGGAGCTTATCAACGTCGTTACAGTCCATTCCTGCTTTATATGACGACCGTGCATCTGGATAATGGCCATGAAGTGTAGTTTCCATTGTAAAAGGCTCCGTCGCTAAGCTGTTTTGTTCAAATACACCACTCTTCCATGTAGACTTTGTGTGATTCACCAAGCGTAGGAGAATGATGATTACCAAGCTCCCATTTCAACAGCTGATTGTACAGAAATCAATAGGCGCTGCATCTTCTAACTTGGCCAGTATGTCTTCGTAAAAAATAGTATGAATGCCCGTTTCATTCTCCATTTGCTTAAAGTATGCAACAATTGAATGGATATGTCATGGAATCAATTTATGTACACCTGACTTGTGTCGTAATTTCAGATATCCTTCTAGATTATGGTGTGCACTGTTGCCTGGGAAATGCCACTTATCTTTGTTATTGTGTACACTGAGTGGTCACAAGTAAACAGACACCTAATTTTTCGCCATTTAACTGATTTATGCTAACTAATTTGTGTTCACAGAGTACTTTATAAATGAGAATGGTCCGCACACTAATTATCTTGTGCTGTAACATGCCTAGAACTCAAGGTTCTCTCGAATTGTCA